TGTGTTATCAGGAACTTGACATTATACCACAGGGACTGGAGAAGACTGGGCTGGTTTTGACAGTGGCTTGCATTTAGCTTAGGGGAAGGTGCTGGACTTCCACAAATGGACTCTTGCCAAAGCAGCAGTTCCCTCTTATCCTCAGCTGAGATGTTCATTCGGCAGTCCACCAATGGCAAAGGGCTTGTTAACATGCTCATTAAACAATCCACACATGCAACGGCTACTTGGATTGTTTGGGAATAGCCTGTGGCATGGCATCTACTGAACAGTGGATTATCTGCATAACAAGGAAGTTTGGCACCTAGGAGTTTGGCTTCCACATTATGCAAAGCATCCAGGCTACTTCCAGCACAGGCCAACCATACAGTGTGGTAGGAGAAAGACATGCATGGAATAAGTAGTTCAGAGGCAGGACAGGGTACAGACTTTGTGAACTCTGTCTTCTTGGAAGGCAGAACGGAAAGGGAGGGGTTTGACCTCAAGATTTAGAGGAGAAAATGCTGGAAAGGTGTTTCCTGAATTGTGGCTGTCAAACTGCACATGCCAAAAAGAGACCTTTTCCGGCTATATACAAGTGTGCAAGAGAGTGTGTGCATGTGTGTGCATGTCCCTGTGGCAATGTGCAGGGGTTCCCAGAGACACCTGAATTTTTTCTTGCTTTGAGCCAAATGCTGTGCCATCTCTCCTACTGGGAAATACCCCAAGTGAACAAGGCTGGTTGGCCTATGGAAAAGGGCTTTTACAAATAATCCTTTGAGGGTACATTGGGCTAGACACTTTAATCACAAACGTGCCATTTCGGTTGGTTCCTCTCCATTTTATTTTGATTGATTTGCTTTCTATCAAGCTTCCTTCTTGTCAACACTGAGAAGTAACAACATGGCTAATAAAGAAAAGGAATAATGAGGTTTGTGCCCTCCCAGACAGGTCAGCCAGAGGAACTTGCCAAATATTCTTGTCTCATCATTCGTTATCTCAGACACTGCCAGAATATTTCAAGCAGCAGCTGGAGGGGGCCAGCTGGCAGGCTGGCTCTTCAGTAGGGAAACAATCCTCTCCCCACCTCACAGCGCTCGATACCTGACTGTTTTCTACTTTAACAACAGTTTCCCTGCTAGTTTTATTCCAGATGTGGTTCTGGTGAGGGAACAGGCTGAATCTGGCAGTGTGACAGGGGCAAGACTGCCATGGTTCCAAGCCCAGGTCCAGCCAAGCAGTGAGGCTGAGCATGTGCCCAAAAGGCACAATGCACACAGAGCACACATATGCAACATGTATGTACATATATACACAGCTGGCCACACAGATCAGCACAGATGAGAACACTCAGCACTCGCACAAATACAAACAGCACAAACAGCCTCATCTTGTTCCCATCTGACAGCTCAGGATGAAGTCCCAGTAGTGGCAATATAGATAGAGATAAGTACAAAGTGAGCCTGCCGGTACCTGGGCACAGATGCTCAGTGTGCCCTGTAACTATCCCTAGCTCCCAGTCTCCTCCAGACGCCGTGATGTGCTCCTCATGGTTTGTAAGAAGGCAGATCTGGAAATCCTTCTGGAAGGTGGACTGGACAGCTTTTAAATATCCAAAGGAATGGGAGGACTTTCCCTGTTCCCTTCAGGTCACCTCAAAACCATGGCTTTGTTTTGTTGTTGTTGGTTGTTTGGTTTTTTTTTTCCCTCATGCAAAACCTGGACTTTCCCAGCTCCTTTGAGTTACACCTTGTTGAAATCTGCAGAACCTGCAGCCTGTGATGTTTCCCGAAGTGTTTTGTATGTCTGGGCCCCAGCAGCTCCAGTTCTCTGATGAATGTACTTTTTCTACAGTCATCAGATCTGTTGTCATTCTAGGAATGCCTTTCTAGAGTGAAGATAGACATGCCATTGCTTACCTGGACTGCCTGATGGGGCAGTAGCTCTCATTCCTGTGGGTAAAACTCTTCCACATTGTTCAGCAAGAATTAGATTACTGGATCATGCAAAGGAGTAAATGAACATGGGTTGCATATTCCTTCCCTTGTATTGGACTTGGCTTCAGTGTGTGCATTCTTGATGGAGGCCGGTCTCATTCCTGTGTTCGTGCCTGATGTGTATTGGCATCTTTCTTCTCCCTGATCCCCCCAATACTACATTACTTATTTCCTTAGTTCAGAAAAGTAATGGGACCACCTGGACACATCTGTGAATTGGAAGTCGCGGCCTTTGGGCAACCCCTGCATGAGTATCCCATGGGATTTTTTCTCCTAGGTCTTTAATGGTGATGCCTGGTTACAGAAATTGTATAGTAAGTTCATACTGTGTCTGCACTGTGCCCAACAAACTTTTCCTTGGTGTCAGAAGGTCTTTTGGCACTGCAAGCCTATTGCTGCTCTTCAACCCAGAGGCTGCACTAACTTACATTTAATTTCTGCCTGGTTTCATTTCACAGAGAGACTAAATATCTATTTTTGTTTTATTTATTTGCTTTATGTCTTAATTCCTTTCTTAAAGTGCAATTGATTTCTTACAGTTAATTTACAGTTAGAAGTGTGAACTATGTCTCTTTTTCTTTCTTCTTTTTTTTTCTTTTTTCTTTTTGGGCTTCTTATACCTATATCCTTTCTGATGCTGTTCCACCAGAAACCCATTCCTGCAAATCTTTTCCATGTGCTTATCAGGATAGAAATCCGTGATAATGTTAGGAGCACTGACTTGGAGTTACTTAGCTTGATCCACACTCAAGACTTTGATAATAGCTGTGAAGTGCTTTGGTAGCAATATTGGTTAAGCAAATTCTTGTGCTCTCCTGTGTAGAGAAAAACAGCTATTTATTTCTGATACTGCAAATGAACTGATTAAAATAGCTAAAAACAACTTTGCCAAAATCAAAAAAAAAGGTGCTTATCTTTCATAACTTTTTCTACTTTCTTCACAGTTGGACTGCTGTCACTGAATCCTACTGTCCTAGCAAATAGAAGGATCTTAGGCCTGGGATGAAAATAACAGTAGTTTGCACAAATCTTTCTCATCTAAATAGAGTGATAATGAGCTACCATCAATGGACAATTCTGTTTTCTTTGATAACCTTTTAAATTTATTTTAGATCTAAACAAGCATAGCTCTGCTCTGGAGTGTATCTTCTCTCAACCAGACTGAGATCTGGCCTTAACCAAGTAAGCTGGTTACTGCCAGCTCAAGATGGCAGTAACCTTATGCTGCTGCCACTAAATTTTTCCAGCAGAGGCATATTTTCAGAAAGTGGTGACTAACAATGACCTTCTCTTGTGGTTTAACCCCAGCCGGCAACCCAGAACCAAGCAGCCACTTGCTCACTCCCCCCCTTCCTGCCCCTGTTCCCGGAGGGATGGGGAGGAGAATCAAAAGAATGTAACTCCCACAGGTTGAGATAAGAACAGTCCAGTAACTAAGGTATAACACAAATCACTACTGCTACCACAAATAATAACAATAAGGGAAATAACAAGGGAAGAGAATACAACCGCTCACCACCCACCGACCGATACCCAGCCTGACCCGAGCAGTGATCTAGCCCTTCCGGGTAACTACCCCCAGTTTATATACTGGGCATGACGTGCTGTGGTATGGAATACTTTGGCTAGTTTGGGTCAGAGGTCCTGTCTCTGCTTCCTCCTGGCTTCCCCTCTTCCCTGCCAGAGCATGAGACTCAGAAAGTCCTTGGTCCGAGTAATCATTACTGAGCAGCAACTAAAAACATTGGTGTTATCAGCGCTGTTGTCAGGCTGAAAGTCAAAAACACAGCTCTGCACCAGCTACTAAGAAGGAGAAAAATGACTGCTACTGCTGAACCCAGGACACCTTCTTCCATGTCTTGCATTGCTCTGATTTGTATGCCTGCATTGGTGGCAGAAAAGTGAGATAAGTAATGCCTTCTTGAAAGGTGGTGTACCAATACAGAAGTGTGCAAGGCACAAAGCCAGCTTGTACGCATCCAGAGGCTTACTAGTGAGAGAAGTGCAGTTTTGTCTTTACCACAGCTAATGGCTTCTAAAGCATTACTTTATTCTACAAAAGCTGTGCTGGTATTTATGTGGTGTATTTTCTTTCTTCCTTTTTTAGCAGTATCTGTTGATATAGAAATCATATCAAGCTGGGATGTGTTCTCGGATTCACTCCTGAATTCTTCTCAAAGCCTAATGTTGTATTTTCCATTTCAGTTTCTTTGGCACTGATTTCTGCACTGGTTATATACCACAGAAAATAATCTAGTTTCTTCATACGGTTTTAATTCATTTAGCAATATTGTGTGAGCACCATCCCATCTATTCCTTTATTTCAAAATATCTTGTATAAAAAAAGTGGGACTATCCTTAATTTCTCTGTAGTGAAAAATCAGCTTTCCTGCAGAGGTCTTATTTTCTTCTGTGCTCTTTTTCAGCCTAATCATTTCTTGGCTTTTTAAATGCTCCTGAAATCTTCACTGCAACTAAAAATCTTACAAGCAACTCCACAGAGTCTCTTTTAATCTAGACTTAGCCCCAAAAGTTGCTTTTAACATAAAAATAATTTTCTTTTATTCATATTGATAAAAATTGCTCTTGCCGCAGCCCCTTTACAATGGCTAACCTTACTCACAGAAGCAATTTTACTCCCTTCTATGAACAATGTTTTTCCTTCTTTGCAAGTATCTAGGTAGCCAAACCAGGTATGAATCTTGCCAGATAAAGACTATACTGTGATTCAGAAGGAAATAGATCTATCAAGATCTCCAGAAAAAAAAAAAACAAAACCAAAAACAAAACAACAACAAAAAAAAAAAAAACCAAAACAGCACAAAAAAACCCACAACCAAAAAAAAAAAACCCTTAGACAAGGAAAGTGGTGAGATCTTATGAATCTGTGGATTGTCAGTACAACACTTTATTTGAGAAACATTCCCCATGAGATTTGCAGTTTACAAGTGCTGTTGTCAGCCATGCTCTCAGTATGAGCAGGGCATGCTGGAGGGATCAGTACACCCTGTGGACCCTGATGAGCTGCCTAACAGAGAATGCCCAGCGTCTGCCACAGCAGCATTTCTGCTGCCCTCTGTGTAAAACGAGAGCTCCCAGGAATGTTAGCACCAAAGAAACGAAATTGCTGAAACACTGATCTCTCAGAGCAAGTTTTCTCATCCCTGGACTTCCCAACACTAAGATGAAGCTGGACACTGGACTCTGGAGATGGTAGGACACACTTCTCTTATGAAAACCTCTGTTTCTTCTGTTGACAAATGAAATGCATGCTTTTAATATTCCCTGCAGGAAGTAACTAGTCCCAAGAGGTGATGTGCTATGTAGTTAAAAAAAAATCCTGTAATGAGCATGGAATAAAATTAGAGGCATTAAGTATCTTTGAGGTAAACAGACTGATGAACAGAACTACCGGGGGAGACATACATAGTGGGCTAAGGGCAATTTTGGCTTTTCATGACATTGGCCAATGGCAAAGGTAGACTAACATTTCTGGGGCCAGAAGTTACTTGTAAAGACTGACCTGTCCCATGCACCAAAGCATGGAGAGACTGTGAAGATCTTTCTATCTCCTAATTGTACTCTTTTGACTCTGCTCCTAGGTTAGCTTTTCCAATGCATTTGTGGTATAGCTTAATGATAAGGAGAAGCATGCCACCTAAGTATGTACAATATTTCACCTTAAAATTTCTTTCAGAAGAGAGACTGGAAGAAGAGCAACTGGAACTCCAGAGATGGCTCAGCACCACCTAATTGTGGAGAAGGTAAAAAAAAACCCGGGCAGGTGTTGAATGAATGTCAAAGTTGAAGTTAGGCTCTTCCTAGCTTTCCAGCAAGCATCAGTGGAAGAGAACTGGAGAGTGGGTCTTGGATGACGATGCAACATTCAGGATGCCCTTTCCATCACCCACAAAAGCAGCTGAGGAGCTCCTCTTACAGAGCAGGTTAGTGGGGTGAGTAAGCTGGGTGTTTTTTGGGTAGAAGAGGCAAGAAGAGAGACAACAGGTGGTAGAAAGAGGTGAAAAATGAGAAGGATTTGGAATGAAAGGAAATCAGGGTTACTAGCATAGTCTAAGCTTGAGAAAATGACTGCTCCCTCAGAGAAGGTCTGAGAACATGTGGAACAGATGCAACAGGTAACACAGGTAACAGAGGTATATCAGCTAATTAAGATAGTTTTGATGCCTTGCTTTTTGAATACTGTGAGAGGAAAGAACATGTGTATCATCCTTTGAGCTGTGGCTGTACTCTTCTTAGGCACTCTCACAAATTACTTATGTTGCAAACACCAGTTTGGGGGACACAAAACATCTCCTGAAGTCTCCTTCACTCTCTTCCTTCCTCTCCCTTTCTCACTTTTCTCTCAAGAGTGAGGAATGCACTTCTTGGTCAAGTCAATGTTTCTGTGGCCAGACTGCATGGCCTGTAAGTACTTTGAGAGCTGGAAAGCTGAATCAAAAGGAGCAAGGTCAGGTACCAAAAGCTAGATGACGTTCATGTGATTGTTCATTCTCTGTCCTTCTCCTTTTCTGTCACTGGGTAGGAAAGCACATTTTGGCGTTTCTGGGGCATAGCTTGTAAGTACTCTGAGAACTGAAAACTGAATTTGGCGTTGTTGGCAAGAAATCTCTTCAGGAGCTTCTTTCTGCAGGGCAGAAATACTTTCTCCATGTCTTAGCACCTCTCACAGGGCTGATGCTTTTGTGCTCAGGAGACACACCACACTCTTTCATGCCCAAGCTGTTTAAGGTCAGAGAACTCCATAGTCCACATGTGGCAGCAGCTCTAGTGGAGCTCATCAGCTGCATCTATTTTAAACCTTCTCTTAGCGATGCTCCTTTATGCCTATTATGGATCCATGTTTTTCCCAAGATCAGTTACTTGTGCATCAGCACCTATCAGGTCACAAGCCCTCGGGCTCCAGAAATAGTGTGTCAATGCAAAATGACTCCTGTCCTCAGCTAAGGCAGCAAATCACAAAGTGAGGAGAAACTTGTTTTCCTCACCCCTCCTATTAATATTGCACTCTGATTCCAAGAAGTCTCCAATCATGCTTTCTAGAGTATCTGTTGGCAAGGCCAGGGCAGCCCAGTGCAATATGTGGGACTTCATTTCCCACACATGCATTTTGAAGTAGATAAGCTGATCAATAATTGTCATTTAAGGAACCTGCAGCCTTACCTTTCATCAGTTGGAGCACCATTGAGAAGCAAATTCCCAAGCCATAATTTCTTACAGGTGAGAGGTGAACCCCAGTGTTTTCAAGTGCTTCATAAGCATCCTGATTCTTCCACAGTCAGACCAGGCTGTTGATTTCAGAGGGTTCTTGCTATATTGTCCAAAGGGAGCGGCAAGTTTAGGTCAGAAACATGGTCTGCAAAGTTGTTGTGGTATTTGCTAGTCAGTTAGCAGGTTTAAAAAGGTACCCATGGAGTTAGAAATACTTGTTCATGCTTTTACTGAGCCACAGTTGCAACACACTGACCTCCAAGTTAAGCTTTTTGGATCATTTGTCTGTTCCTTTAAAGAAATATGTGTAGTAAAACAAAATCTTTCTGCTTCCTTTCATGTTTTGACAACAAAGGTTTTGTCTGGAAAGAATGAAGTGTGGGAAGGGAGAGAGGAGAGAGGTTGTTTCTCTTCTTTGATGCCCAGATACTGCTGGCATTGATGCAGCTTTCACAGCTTCACCCATAAAGATGGTCTCTCTCAAGAGCATCACTTAAGGTGACGCAGGAGTCAGCACAGGGTGTCATCTTTTCCTTTAATATATTTAGCTGTTGCCCAGCAAACTACTTCCATATTTAGAACATGGGAGGATTCCTTGGGTCTGAACCTCAGCATGTTTGTGAGGAGGAGGACCTCCTAATCCTGCAAACACGCTGACAGCTGTGGTCAGTGGAAAAGGTTTTCTTCCTGCTGCCTCCTCTACAGCTCCCCTCCTGCAACTCCAACCCCAGCTCCTTTCCCCAGCAACTTCACAGCTTCTTGAAGTACTCCCTGGAAATGCAGCAGTGTAGAGCTAGCCAGGAACTTGGAGAGACCCATAAGTGTCCCTGTAGTGTGAGAGATGACTTTCATTTACCATTCCTGACATCTGGCTGTAGAATCTGCCCTGAGCAGCTATGTGATGCAGAATGCTCCAGTGCTGCCAGAATGGCTGTTCCGTACTGTAAGATGCACTCTTGATTCCTGTGCAGTTAATTAGGCAGTTGTCTCTGTTAAACAGCTCTTTCAGATAAATGAAGCACTGACGCGTCTTTGTGATCTCCCTAGTGGGTACAACAGTCTGCTTCAGGGTGGAAGCGCCAGCTGCAGCCGGTTGCCACCTGCTCAGGCTGTACAGCCCCCTTGTGTCACTGATGAGAATAGCTGGGTTTGAGAGGCATCAATTCTGGCTTGGAACTCTTCCTGTTGGTTATCTTTTCCTTATTTTTACCCTGTCCACACATTATATTCTGATTTTGTTTGTATACCCAATGTGGGATAAAAAAAAGGCAACCGTCAGTGACTGTTGGCTTTTTCTGTCCTCCCAGTGTTCAGTTCACTTACACAAAAAACCTCATCCATTGCTGCAAAAGGCAGACAAGAAGCACCAGTTGGAAGTGCGGAGGTACCACCTTTAATTCTTCCCTGTATTATTAGAGTGTCAGACTATGTGATTTCTCTCATGATGTTGTGATCCCAGAGTTTTTCTCATTTCCATACTTAGATAGTCAAAAGCAGTTCCTCTTCATATGTATCCTTGCAAAACTTGTAAAATATAGGTTTACAATTTTTCTTCTTATAGGAAATACTGCAGTGCAGAGCAAAAAAAGTTTGTTTGCTCTGATGGTTGTAACTGTTACAGCAGCTGGAGTAGTACAGTTTCTTGATCTTACTCTAGAAAAGAAGTTAATCTCTTGAACTTATTCCTACTTCAGATATGTAAACAAGCAGAAACAGAAGGGAATTAATGACTGCTGTAAAGCATGTAGGGGGAACCTGCTTAACAGCACTGAAAAAGCAGAGATTCTTAACACTTTCTCCAACTCTGTCTTTTCCACAACTGTTGAGATCCAGGCCCTGGGAACAAAATTCAGGTTGATGCAAACACAGACCTGACATCAGTGAAGGAAGAGTTGGTATATGAACTACTAAAGGAGCTTGATCCCGACAAATTGATGAGCCCAATATATCCACGCAAGGGTGTTAAGAAAGCTGGCTGACGTTGTTGTGAGGCCACTTTCCATAATCTTTGAGTATTTGTGAAGAGAGGGGTATGTCCCAGAAGACTGGAAGAAGGCAAATATCACCCCATCACCCTAACAAAGGCTCAGAGAAGGATCCAGGAAACTGCAGACCCATCAGCCTTGTTTAAGTCTCCATGAAGGTAATGAAGCAAATTCTCATGGGGTTATCACAGGTCAAATGAAGCACATGTTAGGAAAAGCCACCATGGATTCACGATGGGCAAATTGTGCTTGACAAACCTGTTTGCCTTCTACGATAAAGTAACCTGCTCGGTTGGTGGGGGTGAGCAGTGGCCATCATCCACCTGGACTTCTCCAATGCTTTTGATACAGTTTCCTACAGCCTCCTCCTAGAGAAACTGATGTGTTATGGTCTAGACAAATGGTCTGTGTGGTAGTTGTGGAGCTGGTTAACTGGCTGCACACAATGCTTATATTCCAACTGGTGACCTCTCAATAGTGGGGTTACCCAGAGATTGATATTGGGCCTAGCACCTTTTCAAATCTTCATAAATGATCTGGAAAGTGGGATCCAGTCCACTCTGACCAGGTTTGATGATGATACCAAACGGAGTAGAGTGGAGCGGAGAAGTCGACACTTTGGAAGAAACAGTCTCTCTGGAGCATAACCAGGATAGGTTGTACGAGTGGGCTAACAAGAACTTATGAAGTTCAACAAGGAAAAATGTAAGGTCTTGCACCTGGGTAAACCCAATCCAGAAGTGCAGCACAGGCTGGGGTCTACTTTGCTGGGGAGTTGCTCTGTGGAAAGGAATGTGGGGTCCTGGTGGACAGTAAGTTAAATAGCTTACTGTGCTGCTGCAGTAAAGAAAGCCAACAGGATGCTGGATTACATCAACAAGGGCATCACCAGCAGAGATAAAAATGTCATTGTCCCATTCTACTCAGCTCTTGGCAGTCTACACCAGGAATGTTGTGTTCAGTTTTGGTTCCTGCTATACAAAAGTTATGTGAACAGGCTGAGAGGGTCTAAAGATGATCCAAGGCCTGGAAAGCCATGTGAGGAAAGGCTGGGAGAATTGGGTTTGTTCAGCCTAGAGAAAAGAAGGCTCAGGGAAGACCTTATCCCCATGCTCCAGTATTTAATGGCTATCCCTAAAGAAGACACAAACTCCCTTTTTACAAGGAGTCACACGGAAAATAAGAGGGTTAATAGATACAAGTTACTCTTGGTGAGGTTCTGGTTGGACACATGAAGAAAATTTCTACAATGAGAATAATCAGCTATGGGAATAATCTCCCCAGGGAAGTGATGGATTCCCCAACATTGGACACTTTTAAGATTTGGCTGGAAAGGGTGCTGGGACTTCTAGTCTAGACTGTGAATTTGCCATGAAAGTTGAACCAGGTGATCCATGATTTCCCTTCCAACATGATATTCTGTGATTCTATGATACTATGAAAATTAATTGCTGATAAACAACCAATACTTAGGTAACAGCGAAATTGAATTGTAACAACTGAAAGCATTGCTGCTGCTGTGTATGCAAGGGAATCTACAGTCTTTATTCTCTAGACATCGACATGGTTACAAAGACTAACTACAGAAAAGACAGAGGGTACACATTTTGTGCAGCCTCCAGGTCACTTTGCTGCCTCATGACAGCCTCACTCTTCCTCTCCTATCTTCTTGATGTGAAACACCTCCCGGCTCTTCACTCGGAGCTTGTTGACCTGGGACTCTGCAATGT